AAGTACATGTACAAGGTATACAGGTACATGTACAAGGTATACAAGTACATGTACAAGGTATACAAGTACATGTACAAGGTATACAAGTACATGTACAATGTATACAAGTATATGTACAAGGTATACAAGTACATGTACAAGGTATACAAGTACATGTACAAGGTATACAAGTACATGTACAAGGTATACAGGTACATGTACAAGGTATACAAGTACATGTACAAGGTATACAAGTACATGTACAAAGTATACAAGTACATGTACAAGGCATACAAGTACATGTACAAGGTATACAGACCATAGCTGACATCAATGACATACTATATAGAAAGTCCCTTGTTATGCAAAGCATTTCGTTCAAAGTAGGTCAATTTTGTCCCAGGATGTGACCCACACAAGTCGACTAACACCCAGGTACCTATTTTACTGATAGGTGAACATGGACAGCAGGTGTCTTAAGGAAACACGTCCTAATGTTTCTACCCTTACCGGGGATCAAACCACGGACCTCAAATGTGTGAGCTGAGAGCTCTACCAATCTAGCTACGGTATTAAATGATGAATATTTAATCTAATCTATTAACACTTGTGTCATATTTAGTGCAAAATTTGGGTTGCATACGTTACAATTAGCTAAAGATCAAAAAAGGCACAATACCGTGACTAGAACAATGCATGTATAACCCGCAGGTAGGAGAAAGACTAGTTAATGATCCAAGTCGTATTACCTGGAGTTTACCTGGAGAGAGTTTCGGGGGTCAACGCCCCCGCGGCCCGGTCTGTGACCAGGCCTCCTGGTGGATCAGCGCCTGATCAACCAGGCTGTTGCTGCTGGCTGCACGCAAACCAACGTACGAGCCACAGCCCGGCTGATCAGGAACTGACTTTAGGTGCTTGTCCAGTGCCAGCTTGAAGACTGCCAGGGGTCTGTTGGTAATCCCCCTTATGTGTGCTGGGAGGCAGTTGAACAGTCTCGGTCCCCTGACACTTATTGTATGGTCTCTTAACGTGCTAGTGACACCCCTGCTTTTCATTGGGGGGATGGTGCATCGTCTGCCAAGTCTTTTGCTTTCGTAGTGAGTGATTTTCGTGTGCAAGTTCGGTACTAGTCCCTCTAGGATTTTCCAGGTGTATATAATCATGTATCTCTCCCTCCTGCGTTCCAGGGAATACAGGTTTAGAAACCTCAAGCGCTCCCAGTAATTGAGGTGTTTTATCTCCGTTATGCGTGCCGTGAAAGTTCTCTGTACAATTTCTAGGTCGGCAATTTCACCTGCCTTGAAAGGTGCTGTTAGAGTGCAGCAATATTCCAGCCTAGATAGAACAAGTGACCTGAAGAGTGTCATCATGGGCTTGGCCTCCCTAGTTTTGAAGGTTCTCATTATCCATCCATATATTTCTTCTATGTGCGTGTTATTTGTGCAAAGACCCGCAAAGTCAATATCTCACTTAGTAAACCATACCCCGGCCGGGACTGAACTCGGGGTCAGAGAGTCTCAAAACTCCTGACCGCGGGTTCAATCCCGGCCGGGGTATGGTTTGTTTGCAATCGTGTCATTACGATTTCGTGAGTCATCTCACTTAGTCACCCACTCATCTATCATCGATGGCTCCTCATAAGCTAGCAGAAGCTCTGACCAAACATTTATCGATGCTGATGGGAACAATCAGCTGCGCAGATTTGAAACATTCAGGGGATTTCTTCAACCATATTCAACATTTGACGTAAGAAACAAGAAACTGGCAAGCATGGTTGTCATTTCTCTGTTTACAAATGTACCCATGACCTCAAGCTCTTGAGCTGTCTCGTGGGAAGGACAACGATGACCTCGATCTTCCAGTGCCTGGCAGTGATTTCATTCATCTTATTGTACCACGTTATTTTTTTTTCTTGTGGTAGCTATACCATATACTATGACCTAGAAAATGTACAGAGAACCTTCACGGCACGCATAACTGCGATAAAACACCTCAATTACTGCGAACGCTTGAAGTTCCTAAACTCGTACTCCCTGGAACGTAAGAGGGAGAGATACATGATTATATACACCTGGAAAATCCTAGAGGGACTAGTACCAAACTTGCACACGAAAATCACTCCGTACGACAGCAAAAGACTCGGCAGACTGTGCAACATTCTCCCAATGAAAAAGCAGGGGTGTCATTAGCACGATAAGAGACAACACAAGTGTCAGGGGCCCAAGACTGTTCAACTGCCTCCCAGCATACATAAGGGGCATTACCAATAGACCCCTGGCTGTCTTCAAGCAGGCACTGGACAGGCACCTAAAGTCAGTAACTGACCATCCGGACTGTGGTTCGTACGTTGGATTACGTGCGGCCAGTAGTAACAGCCTATTTGTTCAGGACCTGATCCACCATGAGGCCTGGTCACAGACCGGGCCGCGGGGTCGTTGACCCCCGGAACTCTCTCCAGGTATACAGACAAAGCTTTGGTATTGCAACGGGGTCCTCTTTATAGTACGATACTAGCTCACATATACATGGAGCAACCTAGAGATCACAGAAATTCACTCCTTCCATTCCCGGAAGTGTAATGTGGGTTCGATACACGGATGAAACCCCTGTAGTAACCAGGATATTTAACATCATCAACCAACAGCAAAAAACAACGTAATTGAGCCATCCATTAATTAAATTCGACCCTAAAGAGGAGTGTGAAGGCAGACTTCATGTGCTGGTGTATGAACCCCCACGTCAGGTGAGTTAGTAATGCCAAAACTTTGCCTGTATAGAGTTGCCAGATGAAAAAAGTGAAAATACAGATGCTCGAAACTAGTGATATCGTAAATACGTCCATTACACTAGCACTGAGAATCCACTAAATTCGTCTTTACAGGACACAGGTCACTTCACTACATAGTTTGAAGAGTAGGTACAGTAGGTTCCGAAAGGGCAGGAACCAACTATTACCGGCCAATTGAATTTTAAGAGGTCGGGACAGGAGCTGAACCTCGACTCATAAATACAATTAGGTGAGCACACGCGGGACAGTAGCATGAGTGACCATACTACTGACAGTGACCATACTACTGACAGTGATCATACTACTGACAGTGACCATACTACTGACAGTGACCATACTGAAGACAGTGACCATACTGAAGACAGTGACCATACTACTGACAGTGACCATACTACTGACAGTGACCATACTACTGACAGTGACCATACTACTGACAGTGACCATACTGAAGACAGTGACCATACTACTGACAGTGACCATACTACTGACAGTGACCATACTGAAGACAGTGACCATACTGAAGACAGTGACCATACTACTGACAGTGACCATACTACTGACAGTGACCATACTACTGACAGTGACCATACTACTGACAGTGACCATACTGAAGACAGTGACCATACTACTGACAGTGACCGTACTGAAGACAGTGACCATACTACTGACAGTGACCATACTACTGACAATGACCATAATGAAGACAGTGACCATACTGAAGACAGTGACCATACTACTGACAGTGACCATGCTGAAAACAGTGACCATACTACTGACAGCGACCATACTACTGACAGTGACCATACTACTGACACTGACCATACTGAAGACAGTGACCATACTACTGACAGCAACCATACTACTGACAGTGACCATACTACTGACAGTGACCATACTACTGACAGTGACCATACTACTGACAGTGACCATACTACTGACAGTGACCATACTACTGACACTGACCATACTGAAGACAGTGACCATACTACTGACAGTGACCATACTGAAGACAGTGACCATACTATTGACAGTGACCATACTACTGACAGTGACCATACTACTGACACTGACCATACTGAAGACAGTGACCATACTACTGACAGTGACCATACTACTGACAGTGACCATACTGAAGACAGTGACCATACTACTGACAGTGACCATACTACTGACAGTGACCATACTGAAGACAGTGACCATACTACTGACAGTGACCATACTACTGACAGCGACCATACTACTGACAGTGACCATACTACTGACACTGACCATACTGAAGACAGTGACCATAGTACTGACAGTGACCATACTACTGACAGTGACCATACTGAAGACAGTGACCATACTACTGACAGTGACCATGCTGAAAACAGTGACCATGCTACTGACAGTGACCATACTACTGACAGTGACCATACTACTGACAGTGACCATACTACTGACACTGACCATACTGAAGACAGTGACCATACTACTGACAGTGGCCATACTACTGACAGTGACCATACTACTGACACTGACCATAATACTGACAGTGACCATACTGAAGACAGTGACCATACTGCTGACAGTGACCATACTACTGAGAGTGACCATACTACTGACAGTAACCATACTACTGTCAGTGACCATACTACTGACAGTAACCATACTACTGTCAGTGACCATACTACTGAGAGTGACCATACTACTGACAGTGACCATACTACTGAGAGTGACCATACTACTGACAGTGACCATACTACTGACAGTGAACATACTGAAGACAGTGACCATATTGCTGACAGTGACCATACTACTGAGAGTGACCATACTACTGAGTGACCATACTACTGACAGTGACCATACTACTGACAGTAACAGAGGTTGCAACTTTTAAAGGACAGTAGCAAGAAAGTGGTCATGCCAGTGACCATGTTAGTGACAGTAATCATGCTAGTGACAGTACCATGACTGCCAGTCTCCCATTGGTAATGACTTCCCTGCTTCATGAAACAGACATTCTCTACCTGGATAACAGAGAAAAGAAAGTGCCAACATGTCATTTATTATTACCTATTTCTACCATTAACATAAATAATATCCTGAATAAAATAGGAAACGAAAAGCGATGGAAATTGTTCAAACAATCCGCGAGAACCTCTCCACAGGTCCCGGATAACGCTCACCAATCACCAAGCAGTTTAATAAGTTCTTAGGAAAGCCTACCAATGAGAGGGGCTCTTACAAGAAAGGAGGAGTGACGCGGACCAATCAGGGAATTTGTTTTGACCTGAGTGTTGAGGCCGAGCATGGAGGATCACTTCACGTGAGGATGTCTCTAGTCAAGCAACGCTAAAAGGCGCCATGGGGCTTATTATATCCAGATTTCGGGTAAGATGGCTTGCCAGGGAGTGCCATGATGAGTGACGAGGTGGGAGGAGTGGCCAGGGTGGCGGCAGAGACGGTAAATGAGGAACAAGAGGCTTGAGACACCCGGCCACAGCCCACATCTGGCACTTCTGATTTTACTTCCTCATACATATATTGGTGACGTGTTATTTTTTTCTATTTAACGTTCCTGCTTTATCTACATCTATTGACCTCTGTGGACATTGCTTTATTAATTGTGTGTGTTGGTATGTGTGTGTTGTCATCTGTCTAACTTGTCTTCATTGATCGACAGATGTTCTATTGTTAATGTTATTTTTATGTTGTTAATTGTGTTAATTATGAATTAATGTTAAGAGATATACGAGGGTGACATTATACGTCTTACTAGTTCATTATTGTGGAATGGCATTATTTCTGACAAGTATGTTCGTTATAAACTACTTGTAGATAGAAATTATAGACCCCAATGGAAATACCTGGAGTTTACCTGGAGAGAGTTCCGGGGGTCAACGCCCCCGCGGCCCGGTCTGTGACCAGGCCTCCTGGTGGATCAGAGCCTGATCAACCAGGCTGTTGCTGCTGGCTGCACGCAAACCAACGTACGAGCCACAGCCCGGCTGATCAGGAACTGACTTTAGGTGCTTGTCCAGTGCCAGCTTGAAGACTGCCAGGGGTCTGTTGGTAATCCCCCTTATGTGTGCTGGGAGGCAGTTGAACAGTCTCGGGCCCCTGACACTTATTGTATGGTCTCTTAACGTGCTAGTGACACCCCTGCTTTTCATTGGGGGGATGGTGCATCGTCTGCCAAGTCTTTTGCTTTCGTAGTGAGTGATTTTCGTGTGCAAGTTCGGTACTAGTCCCTCTAGGATTTTCCAGGTGTATATAATCATGTATCTCTCCTGCCTGCATTCCAGGGAATACAGGTTCAGGAACCTCAAGGTCACTTTTTTTTTGGGGGGGCGGGGGGAGATTCTAGTTAATTTTTAATATGTATGATAATTGTAATTGTGTACCTGTACCTAAGTTAATTTACTCATTGTAAAGACGAAGTTCTGCCCACCGGCATTATCTAGTCGGGACGTAACAAATTAGGCGAAGTATAAATATATTCGAAAAGGCGTGAAGGTAGAGGTTGTCAGGTAGTGGATGACTGAATAGTGATATTGTCAGGTGCTTGGGTCATCCGGATACTGATTTAAGAACTTTTTCAGGATAAGTTTAGATATTTTGCGATGGTCGATGCCCCTTGGCTCCGTTGGATTGTTTGATGTTGAAACTGGTGAGGCATAAATTACAACAAGCCTTTACCTGTAAACAAGGACATGGATAAGGTTCCTGTGTTCTCCACTTCCCCCTTCAAGGGCGGCTCCTTGATGCTGGTGAGGGGCTCTTGACCTAAGGAATTGGACTCTTCCCCCTTCCTTGGACCAAACCTAAATTCCTCCCATTGTTCTAGGTGTTCTATGACATGTATGGGTTTGACTTCCCCCTATGAATGTAGTAGCCTCGAGACTACACCATCTTTACTCTCTCCATTAAAAACTGCACTCATGGGGTCAGTATAGTAAATATAACTCAGCAATTTCTCACAGCCAGTCCTAAGGCAGTTCATCCTTGTTGATTGCCTGCTCAACCAGGCTGGGGCTGTGTGCAGCCTCCTAGCCCACATAACCTTCACAGCCTTGATGATCTACCGCTTGGAGATATTGGTTTCTTTCTTGATGACTTAAACATTTGCTCTACCTATATTTTTTTTTTTCATCTGCTGGTAGCCAGTAAATGAATCTTGGGCTATGGATGTAGCCAAAGATATTATTGTATTTAGATGTATTTTTGGTGTTAAGAGTATCAGCGGTCGACTGACTTTAATTTCAAATGAATTTTGGGGGGAAAATGTTAAGATCACTGACAATTCATTAAATCCATATTCACAAAAATGCCTTGCTTGATCTCTTCATTCGAACTTCAAATACCTTTCCTTTTCTCTTTACAGAAACAAAAGTCAACAAAAGAATTGCTTGAACAGATTCAGAAGGTAACAATTTAGAAGTTTTAAAATCATGCAAAACTACATTAAATACATTATATTCTGAAAACTTATAGCTAAAATAACTCAAAGTTGTTATATCTAGCATTACTTCTGTTATATTTTATGTTTTTTTAAAGTAAATACTGAGAATTTAGCAAATAAGAAATTTTTATATAACAGCTGTGCCTTTTTTTTCTTTTTTAGGACAATACGTATATGAAGATTTACGATTTTAAACGGCAATTATATTTTTAAGAATAAAAATGAAAAATTTAAGTAGCTATATGAGGGGTGACAAGTAGGTGATGGTACAGTATTTGAGTTATTGTAGTTACATGACAGGATGTGGCAGAGATCGAGGAGTACCGGGAGACGACAGAGCAGCGGCAGAAGAGGCTGGTGGGGAGCCTCGTTCTTTACTCCATCGTCCTTTACTTGATGGCTGCTGTCATTTTCTACTTCTACTACTTTCCTGACACATTACAGGAGAAGTTGTTGTATGCCACCCCATTTATTTTCTTCATCTTCTTGTGAGTACAGTACTATCCTTTTCAGTTTTGATATACATACATGTACACCACTTTTGTGAGTATGTAACAATTGAGGTAAAATATTGAATGGTATGACACCGTGAATTTTTGCAATTCCAGGGTGGGTTCCGGAGATATGTACTACATAAAAAGGCACAATACCATGACTGAAACAGTGCACAAATAACCTGCATTTAGGAGACTTAAACCTGTGACTGTTTCTGTACAACTTGGACCATTACCTAGTTAATGTTCAAGTTGGACAGAAATGTCATCATAAGTTTGTGTATATATAATAGATTTATGAATAAGGGCTGCAGGAAGGCTGTGTCCAGTTTGGGTAGTGTGAGCCTGGTGGAAATATCTGAAATAAAACAGTCAGAATTTTGTGATGGGATTGATAATTTATACACAGTTCTTATGTTCTCATTTTTTACCTTCAATGTTTTTAAATGCATTTTTCATTTTATGTCCAAGGGTGCTGAGTACTCTACCATGTCAAAGCACTTTTAATCTCAAACCTTCCTTCCTCTCCAAACTGCTACATCAGTCTTACAGTCATCAACACTTGGAATATGTCTTGAAATATTCATTGCTTTCTCCACTTCTTCCAACTGGCATTGTTATTAGGATCCTTGTTGTTGTAATTTGTTTCCTTGATATTTTGAATACAGTCTACAGTATTATTTCTATCACTTTGGAAAATGATAGTCTTGAGAGGACCTACAAACAAGCTGCTTCTCTTGTTCATTCCCATTCCTCTACACAATCTTCTATACTGTAATAAAGAATTGTTTGTACTGTAAAATTGTGGGTATTGCAGTAGGTATTGATACTGCTTTCTGCCTCTCATGAGGGTTTCATCACTGCTCTCTTTCTCAAGTTTAATTACTGAAGATCAAAGACTCTTAAACTTGCTTTACTATCTGTACATAACCGCCAAGAATAGGGATATGCATTTAGTTTTCTTTGTTTTAAAATACTAAAAAAATTGTCAGAATTTTTTTAGGCCACATTCTTTCCTGGCATTGAAAGTCGAGTAACATTCTGTATTCTCCCAACAAATAACTCCACAGAATCTACACCCTAAAGAGACTGCTGACTTGGTATTATCGGCGGAAGATTTCTAAGAATGAAGAAAAGTTGAAGATTCTCCACGAGAGAAGAGAGAAGATCTTAGAGCAGGTGATGGAGACTGAAACATATAAGGTGGCCAAGGAGATACTGGAATTGTATGCGCCTGACCAGCTGCGCAGAACTCAGGTATTGTTATTGTTTCTTTCCTTTTTTTTTTAAGGCTCAGGTTTAATCACAGCTGAAAAAATTTTCTGGAAATGCTGAATCATACTTTGGTTTTGCATATAAAACAACAGCACACTTAACCCTTTGAGGGTTTTGGTCGTACTAGTACGTCTTACGCGTAGGGGTTTTTGACGTACTAGTACGCATAAATTCTAGCGGCCTCAAATCTCGCAGGAAAAGGCTGATAAGCCTAGATGTGAGAGAATGGGTCTGTGTGGTGGGTGTGCGCAGTAGGAAAAAAATCTGGGACCCAGTGGTGCATTGTGGGAATGCCATCATAGTACACAATTTCCACGTGCCCTGCGGTAAGAAGTTCCTCACTCCTCGGCGAATTGGGACACTTTTGTTCCCCAGTGACAGTTCTAATACAGATGGAAGTGACAGTGAAGATGAGTTTCAAGGTTCTGGTGAGGTTTTGACCGAAACTAATGACCATAATATGGGTAATAGTGAGGAAAACCCAGACAACCCACAGCCTTCCACCTCTGGTGCTAGGCCGTCGTTCAGTTGTACCAGAATCAAAGAGGAAACTCCTATTTTCCAAAATCCCAGACTCAGATGTGAGCATTGGTGATGATAATGATAGTGATTATGAACTACAAGCTCTTCAAACTTGTTCCAAGAATGGAGGAGGAGGAGGAGGCAGAGGAGGAGGAGGCAAGAGGAGGAGGAGGCAAGAGGAGGAGGAGGCAGAGGAGGAGGAGGAGGAGGAGGAGGAAGAAGAGGAGGAGGAGGAGGAAGAAGAAGAGGAGGAGGAGGAAGAAGAGGAGGAGGAGGAGGAAGAAGAGGAGGAGGAGGAGGAAGAAGAAGAGGAGGAGGAGGAGGAAGAAGGAGGAGGAGGAGGAGGAAGAAGAAGAGGAGGAGGAGGAGGAGGAAGAAGAAGAGGAGGAGGAAGAAGAAGAGGAGGAGGAGGAGGAAGAAGAGGAGGAGGAGGAAGAAGAGGAGGAGGAGGAGGAGGAAGAAGAAGAGGAGGAGGAGGAGGAGGAGGAGGAGGAAGAGAAGAGGAGGAGGAGGAGGAAGAAGAAGAGGAGGAGGAGGAGGAAGAGAGAAGAGGAGGAGGAGGAGGAAGAAGAAGAGGAGGAGGAGGAGGAAGAAGAAGAGGAGGAGGAGGAGGAAGAAGAGGAGGAGGAGGAGAGGAGGAAGAGAGGAGGAGGAGGAGGAGGAGGAAGAGAGGAGAGGAGGAGGAAGAGGAGGAGGAGGAGGAGAGGAGAGGAAGGAGGAGGAGGAAGAAGAGGAGGAGGAGGAGAGAAGAGGAGGAGAGGAGGAAGAGGAAGAGGAGGAAGAGGAAGAGGAGGAGGAGGAGGAAGAGGAAGAGGAAGAGGAAGAGGAAGAGGAGGAGGAAGAAGAAGAATACGTAATGATAACAATAATACATAATAATAATACATAATAATAATACATAATAATAATAATACATAATAATAATAATACATAATAATAATACATAATAATAATAATACATAATAATAATAATACATAATAATAATAGGTAATAATAATATGTAATAATTGTTCACCCATGACAGTAACAAGATAAGGGGAGATAACATCTGATAAGTGCTGACGTTTGATGAGGGTAAATGAGGGTAGAGCTGATGCCAAAAGATGAGATGAACATCGCCCTCCCTTTGTTTTTGCTGGTATACTAACATTTCTGTCTGTCTATTTGCCTGTCTGTCAAGCTCCCTGTCTATCCATCTAGCTCTCTGTCTCAGAGAGCCACAAGACTGCGTCATCACTTTTACTCACATCTTCAAGCAGAGTATAGCACTTTGTCTGGGTTTCTTGGGTTATCCTAGGTAATTTATACTATGTATACTTGTATTTATGTGTACCTGTGAGACAGAGATAGACAGACAGATAGAAAGAGAGAGAGAGATTGAAAGAGATAGAATGAGGGAGAAAGATAAAACACCATTGTGTATGACACCATGTTTCAGAGTTCCACAAGCTGCAGAACTAATAGGAATATGTTCAGTGACTGTATATTGGTATATATATTATAGAACAATAATAATAATAAACAATGTTTTGTATTGTTTGTTTTTGTAAACAAGTTTTGTAAACAATATATTGATAATTATGTTTGTGTGCTTATTGTGTTGTATACAACGAGTGTATATATGTACATTGCACCTTACTTTGGTCTCATAGGCCACATAAGTTATGTGAAAAAATAAAATAGTGAAAAAAACAACAAACCTTCAAATACAAGTAAATCAAAGTTTACCGGGTGAGCGGCAGTCGCCGCTGTTGCCATACGCGGCTCATTTTCTGCAAACTTCATGCATCCATATCTCCGTAAGTATTGATGGTAAAATTTTTTTGTTTATCCTATAATGTTTAGAAAAAAAACCTCTATTTTTTCATAAGAAAAAATTATTTTTTTTTTTTTTTGAAATTTGGCCGACCCTGAGAACGAGTTTCGGAGAGGGCCTGTCGACCCTCAAAGGGTTAATGACAAGCCAATTTAATTGTATTAACTAAAACCTTGTTGCTCCAACTTGATTCACACCATTTGTATCAAGAGGTCAAGTTACACTCTTGACTACACTGGATGAGGCTCTTCATCCTGGACATAGGTTTTAGATTTTCACCCACATTCATATGTAAAATTATCTTTTTCATTTGTGACACTTGCCCATGGTCAGATAAAAAAAAAAAACTGGATCGAAGGAGGTGTAGCTTGTAAGCTCAAGATATAATTCAAACTCCAAGTGAGAGCTTATAGGTCCTGCATCGGAAAACCATTGACATTCTGTATTTTTTCCCCTTGACATAGAATAGACTAGTCAGCAGGGCACAGTTCCTTGACAATAACTGCCTTACTTCTTTCCCTTGTAGTTACTACTGAGTTTCTCTGTGAGACTAATACAAAGATGCTGTTTATGACCTATTATCAAGTAATTCGTAATTTTCTCCTACAAGTGCACACTCGTGCTTTGAATCTATTTTGTTAACTTCTTGCCACAACTTTTTTTTTCTTTACTACAGCTATCTCTCCTCAGTGTAGGATAACTTGAAAAAAAGGAAATGCATTCATCATCATTCATTGTCTTGATAGAAGTGTGTAGACATCACAGTTCAGATGACACTCCAAACAGCATCATCCCCACCCTTACCTGGGTTGACCTCCTTACCTCCACTCCAGATTTATATACCCTTTTGGCCATCGTTTTCTGCTCCATCCTTTCTAAATATCCAAACAACCATGGCCTGGTTATTTTTATATAGCCTGACTGAGTTCTGGAAATGGGAAGTACAATGCCTGCACTTTAAAGGAGGAGTTTGGGATATTGACAGTTTGGAGGGATGTGTAATAGGATGATGTATATATAATTGGGGCCCTGATATTATATTATATTATAGGGAGTTTATTATATTATTTCAGGTCATTTTTTTATATTGTATCTTTATATATGCTTCTAAACTGTTGTATCTGGGCATCTCTGCAAAAACAGTGATTATGTGAGAGTGAATAAATAACAAAAAGGCGCAATACCGTGATTGGAATGATACACAAATAACCCGCACATAAATGAGAGAAGCTTACGACGACGTTTCGGTCCGACTTGGACCATTGACAAAGTGAGAGTGAAGTGAAAGTGTTGAATGATGATGAGAGTATTTTCGTTTTGGAGATTTTCTTTCTTTTTGGGTCACCCTGCCTAGGTGGGGGATGGCCATCTTGTTGAAAAAAAAATAATTTTTTTCACTTCTACCACCTACCTCTTCCCTCTGCTTTTTTCCCCAGTAGAGCTCAAAATATGCTTGATACAATATTTTGTTTTCAGATGCTGAAAACACCAGCACCTTTACCATCTGTGAGCCAGATTGCACCAACTCCTGTCAGCCAGCATTCAGGTTAGTCCAGCGTTGAGACAATTGATACATGAATGACTAGCCTCTGGTTATTGCCAATGTGTTATCATTTGTTTAACAGTTAATGAATGAAAGATTTACTTCAGGATAGATGAATTCTTTTATAAACTGACTCAAAAGCATTGGTGCAGTCAAAATATTAGTTGTGTAATGTAGAACAAGTTAGTCTATGTAATACGTATACAAGACTACATTTGGAATGTGTAGACTCGTGTAAAAAGTTAATGAGCATTTTCCTCTAATACTTTAAAAATATGTTAAGATTGAAAGAGGATAGGGTGTGAGATAACAAAAATAGTTTGGTCAGTTAAGATTTGAGAGAGAAGAGTACTTGTACATATTTGAAACTAGAGCACCTTGATGGTACTGTACATACACACTACAAGTTATAAATAGTGCCTACTCTGGCAGCTCTCGTCAAGTCAGTTGGATACTTTCAAGGTTGTGTGGCCATATAGTATGGATGGTAATAAGCAATGTTCAGAATTTGTTTGGTACATGAAACGCATTAGGCATCTCTGAAGGTGTCAGATTTTTTATTTCTCGTCCTCCAAAGTTTTCATTAATTTTAAGCTGATCTGATCAGCTTGTATGTGCATAACTAGGGAAAGGTTAAGGCAACATTTGTTAAGTGTAGTCACCCTCTGGGAAATTTATCTACATATTGTACACCATTTATCTGTGTAAATGTGCTTGTTCATTTATTTTCTTGTTAATGTGTACGTATAATTATATTTTTGAATTGCCAACCGTGCTGGTGATCTTGTAGGTCAAGGTGCTCTGTAAATCTTGCAACATCATTCCTTCTGAAAGTGTGTGTGGCAATTTGCTTTTCTGTTAGGAAAAGCTAAATAAGGGAAAACTAAAGAATGGCACATAAAAGGATTTAGAAACTAAAAATATTTGAAGTTTTGTCCTTTGAGGAATTAATTATCAGTTAATGTTAGTTTTAAATTATTCATTTCTTAATAATTTAGATTTTGTGGTGACAGATTTTTTTCCTAATGACAATGTATCATTAAAGAAGTTCGAAGAAGAGTGGTGGGTTCAGCCCAGACTCCTCTACCTATGCCTCAGGGAAGTATTGGAGTACGGCCCCTGGGTCCCCAGGTATTACCGCACCAGACCACCACCTTCACCCCCAGACCACTGATGACTTCTCAGCCAACACCTGCTAGACCAGGTCAGTTGCAGCTCCTGGACAAGTCTCAATGGATGTAAAGTTATCCTTTAACCATTCAGCAAAATAAGGCATTGTGACAATATAAGGCCTCTTTTTTTATGGATGAGTATGAACAATTTTTAAAAGAATGTTGTATACGTACATTGAACAAGGCGAGGAGGGCAACAACCATCAGGTTAGTTGGAACTTGAATGTGACCTTGCTTCTCAACTTGTCTAGAGCTGTTTGTATTTACCACAGCACATTTGTGTGTACCTGAGTAGCTACAAGAGTAGTTATTTATGTGGTAGTCTTTCTTTATAATCCTTGTATTTTTGTATTTTCCAGTACAGTAGTTTTAAGATATGCATCCTCCTTGGGTCCCACTCCAATATCTACTGTTGTTTGTATGGAAGTGGAAATGCTTCCCATATAATTTCTGCACTGCTTTTTATTTTATTTTTAAATTATGGCTGCCCTTTATTTTCCCCTTACACTGTGTGTGTCCTTCCAAGGTAGGGTGTCCCCAGAAAATAAACATTCATTCAATTGGTGCTTTACCAGAAGTAAGCAGCCATCACAATTTGAATGAGCCTCAGAACTGTAACATCCCTACCTATCATTCAGAAAGCAGTCACTGTACTTCCTACTTCCCAGACTTGGCCGACCAGTTTTCCCCTAATCTCTTCATAAGTGCTACTTTGCTTACACCAACAACATATTAAATCTCACTTGTGAACATCTATAATACAATAGCTTTAAGATTATGGTACATCTGCTACCTGGTAGTTTGCGACCTCTGTCAGTCTGAATTATCTCGATTACCATACCCTACCATGAGGTTCACAAGACGCTAATAGCAAGTGATTTTGGGTTACTGAGGTGTTCTGTATCTTATCTGAGTTGTGGGAAAGGTAATAAATGCTAGTACATACACTCAAGGTTTAGGTATTTAAAGAAATACATTTTAATTTAATGTGAGTTAAAGTTCACGAGGGCCCTGAGTATTCAGCACCCTCTTTTTGGTGTTCCAATTTTTGTCTTTCATTTGAGCCATTGGTCATCATGTTCAATGCTTTTACTGCTTTTTTGCCATTTTCGCACAGTTGCGTAAGGGAGGGGCAACTGGTGTCACATTTTAAGGTAGGTATTGTATGTGCTGTGTATTTTACTTTTTTTTTTGTCAAGCTGTATTAAGCACTTAAAATAACGTAAACATGTTATCAGGAGTTTTAGATGCATTCGATAAAATTCTTTCCATCCGCTGATGATTTTCACTTATCACACTGGATTGGGGACCTAAGCGCCGTACAAACTGGGGGCCCTTCTGTATATATGAGTTAGGTTGTGGGATAAAGTGAAGTGTCTTCAGGTTGCAGAATCACAGTATTAATGCATGTAGTCCATTATGGGTTTAGTGCTTCCCCCATGACTGTAATAAGTGTGTGTAGTAATGTTAGCATATATGTTGTATGACCAGTTTTTATATGCTTTGCAAATAAAGCATTGTCCACCTAGACGAGTTAACAAGTATAGCAGCAGCATAAAGGCTTCACGTAAAAGTGGTCTTCCTTTTTATTACTTTTTTGATACCTTTCTATTACTACTATTATTTGCTTAATGTTTTGTTGATTAGCATTATGTGCATGAATACAAGTAGATTTGTTTAAAGTTGGTGATAATGCAGGTCTAGTTGGCATGAGCACAGTAAGGTCGACATCACTGGGAGCAGGTGGTGGATCTGTAGTCCCTGGGCTGCCACTAACAGGTCTCCCTGTTGGTGGTGTCACTCCTACTCCCTACACCACACCAGCTTCCTCCCTCCACTCAGTTGCTCAAAGTAAGTCTTCTAATCTGCCTTTCATGCTGTAGATAATTTAATCTAATTTTACCTGTGCTTAAGACTTTCAGAGAATTGAACATCTGTTACTTCAACAAGAATTATGTAGTAAGAGTAGAGAGCTGCAAAAATTTGGCTGTAGTTCATTATTCAGCTGCAGAGAGATTTTTGAAGGAAAGTAGACTTTCTAAAATAAAATTACCATAAGAATATCATGGTGGTTAGTTTAATATGTTTATTATGCGCTCCATACCCATCCTGTGGGCGGTAGTCAAAAGATTACAGAGGTACATAATTGGTCCAGGAACTGGACTCCAAAGTTTTGATAGCTGAGCAAGTTAGAGGTAATGAACTCACAATTTACAAAGGTAATGAACTCTCAATTTACAAAGGTAATGAACTCTCAATTTACAAAGGTAATGAACTCCAAGTAGGTCTAGTCACAATCATGACAAGTTACAAAGGTATTTACAGATTACAGAGGTACGTAATGGGGAAATGTATAATGCAACACATTTGGTTTTCTTGATAATAGGAAAATTGTTAGGCAGGCACAGCAGTGATTAATCAATAGCAAATCAAGAGCTTTAATTCCCTAGCTATCTTTCCAGAAGAGAATGGCCATAAGAGTTCAAATGACCCACTGATTCAGAGTGCAGACCTTTCCACCCCACAACTCAATCCAGCTGATGGATTTTCGTGAAACCCTTCATAAGTGTTACTTTGCTTACACTCCAGCAGCCTATCAAATTCCCAGAAGTCTCTCTCTTGTCTCACATATGCCTGCCTGCCTGCTGGATGTTCAAGCTCTTACCATTTAACCCTTAAACTGTCCAAATGTAGATCTTTGTTTGCACGCGTAGCGCTCCGAACGTTTTCTTTTATATAATGTAAAATCGAACGTAGATCTACGTTTTGAGTGCCACGTGTGCGAACATAGATCTACGTTTGGACAGTTTAAGGGTTAAACCTTCCATTACACCCTCCTTCCAATCTTCCATTTGCCCAAGATTTCTGGATAAATACTGTACAATAGCATATGTTTTGAGATAGTTAATGCTTTATTGTGCATGTTAAAAACTGTTATCATAAAATATTCTTTATTTACAGCTCCCAGTATTGTGAGGAATGATGGTGCACCTCCAGGGCCACCTATGCCACGGCCGGTGTTGCCGCGAGAGCGAGGCTACCTTGATCGCTTCGTAGAATACTTGGTGGGTGATGGACCTGCCAACCGCTTTGCCTTAGTGTGTCGTCAGTGCGAGTCTCACAACGGGATGGCCCTTAAGGATGAGTTTCCTTATCTTGGTAAGTTATTGGTTATTTGTAATTACTTAGTGAAACATTGTAAGTCTTGATCAAGGCAGAAGGCATTCTGAAGCTAGGGCTCATCTGATAAACTCAATGTGAAAATGTTAGGGAAATTTCAAATGGAAAATTTAAGATAAAATTAAAGTACGTATCAGATAAGTAATTCTTATTAATGTTGGTTGGGGCAGTGCTTCAACGTTAAATGATTAGTAGGGTCTACCTGTCAGACCCTTAATTGTCATATAGTCCTGCAAAGGCACTGATCCAAGCCAGGTAGGTAGGCTACCCTACTCTTGTACACTAAACAAGAAATGATTTTTCTGCATTGCTGCACTGGTATAGCTGTTGATACATATAATGTAGTTCTTTCTTTCAACACATCGGCCATATCCCACCGAGGCGGGGTGGCCCAAAAGGAAAAACGAAAGTTTCTCCTTTTACATTTAGTAATATATACAGAAGGGGTTACTAGCCCCTTGCTCCTGGCATTTTAGTTGCTTCTTACAACATGCATGGCTTACGGAGGAAGAATTCTGATCCACTTTCCCATGGAGATAAGAGGAAATAGACAAGAACAAGAACCAGAAAGAAAATACAAGAAAACCCAGAGGGGTAAGTATATATATGCTTGTACATGCATGTGCAGTGTGACCTAAGTGTAAGTAGAAGTAGCAAGACGTACCTGAAATCTTGCATGTTTATGAAACAGAAAAAAGGACACCAGCAATCCTACCATCATGTAAAACAATTGCAGGCTTTCGTTTTACACTCGCTTGGCAGGACGGTAGTACCTCCCTGGATGGTTGCTGTCTACCAACTTACTACCTATAATAATGTAGTTCTGCTGTGTATATTTACCTTCAGTTTCCCTTCAGTAGGGATGCCTTGATAGTGGTTAATGCCTCTTGCTCTGACGAACTAAAGCTATCCTCTCCTTCCTGAGATCCAACTTGATTACTCCTATTTCTTAGGTGCTGCATAACCCTTATGGATTTAACATTCCAAACTTGAATATAATACTACTAACAATAATTCACCTAGGAAGTAGGCTGGTAGACAGCAACCACCCAGAGAAGCACTGTTGTCCTGCCAAGTGAGAGTGAAATGGAAACCTATAATTTTTACATGTAGGGTTGCTGGTGTCTTTTGTCTTATAAACTTGAGATACCAGGTATGTATTGCTACATCTACTTGCACTTAGGTCATTACACATGCATGTATATGCATATATGTACATACCCTCTCTGTTTTTTCTATTTTCTTAATAGTTCTCGTTTATTTCCTCTTAGCTCTATGGGAAAGTGGAACAGAATTCTTCCTCCGTATGTCGTGTGTGTCGTAAGAGGTGACTTAAATGTCCGGAGCATTACTGTATACATTACTAAAGTTAGAGAAACTTGTTTTTCTTTTTGGGCCACCCTGCCCTGGTGGGATATGGCCAGGTTGGTAGACAGCAACCACCCAGGGAGGTACTACCGTCCTGCCAAGAGTGTAAAACGAAAGCCTGGAATTGTTTTACATGATGGTAGGATTGCTGGTGTCTTGTCTGTCTCATAAATATGCAAGGTTACAAGTACGTCTTGCTACTTCTACTTACACTTAGGTCACACTAAACATGCATGTACATGTTTATTTATACACACTCATCTGAGTTTTCTTTGATTTTATCTTAGGTCTTGTTCTTAGTACTTTTCCTTTTATATCCATGGGGAAGTGGAATAAGAATCTTTCCTCCGTAAGCCATACGTGTTGTAAAAGTCGACTAAAATGCCAGGAACAGTGGGCTAGTAACCCCTTTTCCTGTAATAATTACTAAAAAGAATAAGAAGAAAATTGTCAAAGTGGGAAGTCTGAATGTGCATGGATGTTGTGTGAATGATAAGAAAGAGATGATTGTGGATGTTATGAATGAGAAGCTGGATGTCCTGGCTTTAAGTGAAAGTGAAGTGATTCCCATCAGTGAAAAAACTGATACTTCTCTACTTATTGTGCATAATTTATCAATTATTTATAATAGGTATGTATAAAGGTTGGATGTGAGAAGTGGGTTATAGTAAGCTTATATGCACTTATGGAAGAGAGATTGAGAGAGAGATTGAGAGAGAGAGAGAGATTGAGATTGAGAGAGAGATTGAGATTGAGAGAGAGATTGAGATTGAGAGAGAGATTGAGATTGAGAGAGAGATTGAGAGAGAGATTGAGAGAGAGATTGAGATTGAGAGAGAGATTGAGATTGAGAGAGAGATGAGATTGAGAGAGAGATTGAGATTGAGAGAGAGATTGAGAGAGAGATTGAGATTGAGAGAGAGATTGAGATTGAGAGAGAGATTGAGAGAGAGATTGAGAGGAGAGATTGAGAGAGAGATTGAGATTGAGAGAGAGATTGAGATTGAGAGAGAGATTGAGAGAGAGATTGAGAGAGAGATTGAGATGAGAGAGAGATTGAGAGAGAGATTGAAGAGGAGAGATTGAGAGAGAGAGAGATTGAGATTGAGAGAGAGATTGAGATTGAGAGAGAGATTGAGATTGAGAGAGAGATTGAGATTGAGAGAGAGATTGAGATTGGGGAGAGATTGAGATTGAGAGAGAGATTGAGATTGAGAGAGAGATTGAGATTGGGGAGAGAGATTGAGATTGAGAGAGAGATTGAGATTTGAGATTGAGAGAGATTGAGATTGAGAGAGAGATTGAGAGAGATTGAGATTGAGAGAGAGATTGAGAGAGAGAGAGAGATTGAGATTGAGAGAGAGATTGAGATTTGAGATTGAGAGAGATTTGAGATTGAGAGAGATTTGAGATTGAGAGAGATTTGAGATTGAGAGAGATTTGAGATTGAGAGAGATTTGAGATTGAGAGAGATTTGAGATTGAGAGAGATTTGAGATTGAGAGAGAGATTGAGATTGAGAGAGAGATTGAGATTGAGAGAGAGATTGAGATTGAGAGAGAAATTGAGATTGAGAGAGAAATTGAGATTGAGAGAGAAATTGAGATTGAGAGAAATTGAGATTGAGAGAGAGATTGAGAGAGAGATTGAGATTGAGATTGAGAGAGAGATTGAGAGAGAGAGAGAGAGAGAGAGAGAGAGAGAGATTGAGATTGAGAGAGAGATTGAGATTGAGAGAGAGATTGAGATTGAGAGAGAGATTGAGATTGAGAGAGAGATTGAGATTGAGAGAGAGATTGAGATTGAGAGAGAGATTGAGATTGAGAGAGAGATTGAGAGAGAGATTGAGATTGAGAGAGAGATTGAGATTGAGAGAGAGATTGAGATTGAGAGAGAGATTGAGATTGAGAGAGAGATGAGAGAGAGAGAGTTGAGATTGAGAGAGAGATTGAGAGAGAGATTGAGAGAGAGATTGAGAGAGAGATTGAGAGAGAGATTGAGAGAGAGATTGAGAGAGAGATTGAGAGAGAGATTGAGAGAGAGATTGAGAGAGAGATTGAGAGATTGAGATTGAGAGATTGAGATTGAGAGATTGAGATTGAGAGATTGAGAGAGAGATTGAGATTGAGATTGAGATTGAGATTGAGATGAGATTGAGAGTGAGATTGAGATTGAGATTGAGAGTGAGATTGAGATTGAGAGAGAGATTGAGAGAGAGATTGAGATTGAGAGAGAGATTGAGATTGAGAGAGAGATTGAGATTGAGAGAGAGATTGAGATTGAGAGAGAGATTGAGATTGAGATTGAGAGAGAGATTGAGAGAGAGATTGAGAGAGAGATTGAGAGAGAGATTGAGAGATTGAGATTGAGAGATTGAGATTGAGATTGAGAGATTGAGATTGAGAGAGAGATTGAGATTGAGAGAGAGAGAGAGAGATTGAGAGAGAGAGAGATTGAGAGAGAGAGAGAGAGAGATTGAGAGAGAGAGAGAGAGAGAGATTGAGATTGAGAGAGAGATTGAGATTGAGAGAGAGATTGAGATTGAGAGAGAGATTGAGATTGAGAGAGAGATTGAGATTGAGAGAGAGATTGAGATTGAGAGAGAGATTGAGATTGAGAGAGAGATTGAGATTGAGAGAGAGATTGAGATTGAGAGAGAGATTGAGATTGAGAGAGAGATTGAGATTGAGAGAGAGATTGAGATTGAGAGAGAGATTGAGATTGAGAGAGAGATTGAGATTGAGAGAGAGATTGAGATTGAGAGAGAGATTGAGATTGAGAGAGAGATTGAGATTGAGAGAGAGATTGAGATTGAGAGAGAGATTGAGATTGAGAGAGAGATTGAGATTGAGAGAGAGATTGAGATTGAGATTTGAGATTGATTGATTGATTCTGGGAAATGTTGAGTGAATGCGTGGGAAGTTTTGAACCAAGTGTAAGAGTACTTGTGGTTGGGGATTTTAATGCTAAAGTGGGTAAAAATGTTGTGGAGGGAGTAGTAGGTAAATTTGGGGTGCCAGGGGTAAATGAAAATGGGGAGCCTGTAATTGAGCTATATGTAGAAAGAGGTTTGGTAATAAGTAATACATATTTTATGAAAAAGAGGATAAATATACAGGGTATGATGTAGCACGTAATAAAAGTAGTTTGTTAGATTATGTATTGGTGGATAAAAGGTTGATGGGTAGGCTCCAGGATGTACATGTTTATAGAGGGGCAACTGATATATCGGATCATTATCTAGTTGTAGCTACAGTTAGAGTAAGAGGTAGATGGGAAAAGAGGAAGGTGGCAACAACAAGTAAGAGGGAGGTGAAAGTGTAGGTTGGTAGACAGCAACCACCCAGGGAAGTACTACTGTCCTGCTAGATGACTGTGAAACAGAAACCTGTAACTGTTTTGCATGATGGTAGGATTGCTGGTGTCTTTTTCTGTCTCATAAACACGCTAGATAACAGGGATATCTTGCTACTCCAACTTACACTTTGGTCACACTTCACAGACATGCACATGCATATATATATATACATACATCTAGGTTTTTCTCCTTTTTCTACATAGCTCTTGTTCTTCTTTATTTCTTCTATTGTCCATGGGGAAGTGGAAAAGAATCTTTCCTCCGTAAGCCATGCGTGTCGTATGAGGCGACTAAAATGCCGGGAGCAATGGGCTGGTAACCCCTTCTCCTGTAGACATTTACTAAAAAAGAGAAGAAGAAAAACTTTATAAAACTGGGATGCTTGAATGTGCGTGGATGTAGTGCAGATGAAAGAAGTTGGATGTCTTGGCCCTAAGCGAAACAAAGCTGAAGGGGGTAGGGGAGTTTCGGTGGGGGGAAATAAATGGGATTAAATCTGGAGTAAAGGAGGTTTTGTGTGCGAGGGGCTTGGACTTTCAGCAGGCGTGCGTGAGCGTGTTTGATAGGAGTGAATGGAGACGGATGGAGTGAATGATGGTGAAAGTTTTTCTTTTTCAGGCCACCCTGCCTTGGTGGGAATCGGCCAGTGTGATAATAAAAAAAAAAAAAGTTTTTATTGCATTTATGGATTTAGAAAAGGCATATGATAGTGGATAGGGAAGCAGTCTAGCAGATGTTGCAAGTATATGGAGTAGGTGGTAAGTTACTAAATGCTGTAATGAGTTTTTATGAGGATAGTGAGGCTCAGGTTAGGGTGTGTAGAAGAGAGGGAGACTACTTCCTGGTAAAAGTAGGTCTTAGACAGGGATGTGTAATGTCACCATGGTTGTTTAATATATTTATAGATGGGGTTGTAAGAGAAGTAAATGCTAGGGTGTTCGGGAGAGGGGTGGGATTAAATTATGGGGAATTAAATACAAAATGGGAAGTGAGTTACTTTTTGCTGATGATACTGTGCTTATGGGAGATTCTAAAGAAAAATTGCAAAGGTTAGTGGACGAATTTGGGAGTGTGTGTAAAGGTAGAAAGTTGAAAGTGAACATAGAAAAGAGTAAGGTGATGAGAGTATCAAATGATTTAGATAAAGAAAAATTGGATATCAAATTGGGGAGGAGTAGTATGGAAGAAGTGAATGTTTTCAGATATTTGGGAGTTGACGTGTCAGCGGATGGATTTATGAAGGATGAGGTTAATCATAGAATTGATGAAGGAAAAAAGGTGAGTGGTGCATTGAGGTATATGTGGAGGCAAAAAATGTTATCTATGGAGGCAAAGAAGGGAATGTATGAAAGTATAGTAGTACCAACACTCTTATATGGGTGTGAAGCTTGGGTTGTAAATTCTGCAGTGAGGAGGCAGTTGGAGGCAGTGGAGATGTCCTGTCTAAGGGCAATGTGTGGTGTAAATATTATGCAGAAAATTCAGAGTGTGGAAATTAGGAGAAGGTGTGGAGTTAATAGAAGTATTAGTCAGAGGGCTGAAGAGGGTTTGTTGAGGTGGTTTGGTCGTTTAGAGAGAATGGATAAAAGTAGAATGACATGGAGAGTGTATAAATCTGTAAGGGAAGGAAGGCGGGGTAGGGGTCATCCTCGGAAAGGTTGGAGGGAGGGGGTAAAGGTGGTGGTGTGGGTGAGGGGTTTGGACTTCCAGCAAGTGTGCGTGAGCGTGTTAGATAGGAGTGAATGGAGACAAATGGTATTTGGGACCTGACGAGATGTTGGAGTGTGAGCAGGGTAATATTTAGTGAAGGGATTCAGGGAAACTGGTTATTTTATATTACCAGACTTGAGTCCTGGAAATGGGAAGTACAATGCCTGCACTCTAAAGGAGGGGTTTGATATATTGGCAGTTTGGAGGGATATATTGTATATTTTATTATACGTATATACTAAACTGTTATATTCTGGGCACCTCTGCAAAAACAGTGATAATGTGTGAGTGAGGTGAAAGTGTTGAATGATGAAAGTATTTTCTTTTTGGGTCACCCTGCCTCCGTGGGAGACAGCCGACTTGTTGAAAAAAAAAATGTATATAGTATTTGTATGATTGTTGATAGTGTGTAATTTTATAGCATTCAGGTGTGCCTATTGCTTTTACTGGAATCCTGCGCGAAAGCAACGTCCCTCTGCTCCACGCCTGGAAAATCTTGCCCCTCTGCGGCCTCCGTCACTACCTATTAATGAGGACCAAGAGGATGATGATGAGCAGGAGTCCTCATCAAGTGAAGAGGAGGATGAGGATGAGGAGGTAGAGGATGAGGAGGGAGGTGTGGAGGATGAAGGTAGGTCGTTTGATGTGTTGCAACAAAATTGCTGTGGTATATTAAGTGATAATTGAACTAGGGCTTACTGCTAGGAGGGACTGTAGCATTAGACATGCATTGTTGAAGAACTGGGTATGGCAAAAGTTGCTGGAATATAGCAAGGGATGACTAAAAGAGGAAAATACAGAAGCTCTTGACTTATGATGTTCCACTTTTGACATTGGCACCTTGGAATCAGCAGGAGTACTTACTGCTGCAGAGGACACAGCAGTGGAAACTGGTGCTGCAGCTGTTAAGCACACATTGCTACAGCACACAGTTCACTTGCCCTTTCACTTTTACTGTTGAACAATCTTTGAATAGCACTTTAAACTGGTTTATACTGACATAGATGAGAAAGACTGACCAGAAACAATTTGTGTATGGATAATGTTGCAGTTTTATAACTGTAGTGTAAGCATGCCTCTGGCTAGACAGTGATGGAGTGAATGAAAGTTTTTCTTTTTTGACCCACTCTGCCTTGGTAGGAAACGGCCAGTGTTAAAATAAAAAAAAATAATCCAAAGAGTATATTTTAAAACTTAAGTCTTATGGTTGGTTTTTCAATTTAAATCTTGTACAACTTCAAAAGGAAATAACAAAAAAAGGCACAATACCGTGACTGGAACGATACACAAATAACCCGCACATAGAAGAGAGGAGCTTACGACGACGTTTCGGTCCGACTTGGACCATTTACAAAGTCACGCTGACTTTGTAAATGGTCCAAGACGGACTGAAACGTCATCGTAAGCTTCTCTCTTCTATGTGCGGGTTATTTGTGTAGTGTTCAAAAGGAAATGGACACCTTGCCAGACAAAGTACAACTGAATTTTGGATATTTTTCTTGGTTGCTTAATGTTGTAATCCATATGTATTTTCTATAAAAGTTTAATATTTGTAAGTGAAGATGAACAGTATTGAATGTAAAATATTGAAAATCTTCTTTGTAATTATTTTAATGAAACTAGAGAGGGGAAGGAGGGAATTTCAACTTATAACATGGGTGTCTATAGATAAACAAGTTTAGAATTGAACAATTGACTAAAGATTTTCAGGAATGTTGAGTAGGGGACCTACTGTATGTGGTAAAAAAAATCAATAAAGCAAATCTCGGTAGACAAATAGAAAGCAACCATTGTCTGATATGGCATCAAATTGTTGAGAATCAGTTTCATTTGTTATGATGAGAGAAGCAGCAGTGTCATAGCAGTCAGCTTGGTCAGGTCATCACAGATATTGGGGTAGTCCTGACGTTCTTGAGCACACTGACCTGTACGAAATTGGTGTGTGAAATCACATAGTTGAAGTGATCATAGTGACAAGGGCTAGTACTGTCGACTGTCTATAATTTGTGAGGGTTAAGTGCCTAGAGGTTCCATCAGTATAAATTTCATAAATAATATAAATTGTCTGCACAAGTCTTTTAAAGATTTAGGCTCCTGTAGTGTTTCAAAGGCTTTATATTTATAGTTCTAATTGTATTTTAAAAAAATCATAAGAATGTTATGAAAGAAAATGCACCTAGGTGCGGAAATCTAACGAGTGCATTTTCAATGAAATTCTATGGTAAATTTTCAATGTAGAAGTCTTGCCAAGCCAAAACAAATGATCATAAAATGTTCACATTTCATGATTGAATTGTACCAAATAAATGTGAATGCACACATGTACCAAGCAGATATGCATTTGATAAAGCTAGTGTGTGTTAATGCAGCTTGTTTCAGAGGTTACAGAAATCTAGTCTCCATTCCTACTTGACCGGTGCTATATCACCTTACTGTGGTGGCAGCAACCCCTTCCCCATGCTGGGCCATCTTTGTGGTTATGAGGAATGTGTACTGATGTTTTTTTTTTTTTTTTTTTTTCTCAAGTCGGTCGTCTCCCACCGAGGCAGGGTGACCCAAAAAAGAAAGAAAATCCCCAAAAAGAAAATACTTTCATCATCATTCAACACTTTCACCACACTCGCACATTATCACTGTTTTTGCAGAGGTGCTCAGAATACGACAGTTTAGAAGCATACACATATAAAGATACACAACATATCCCTCCAAATGTCTTAATGGAAATTAGGGACATCTTAGTTACTGCATTTTATACATTCAAGTAAGGCAGTGCTCTGTTTACAGAATCTGGAAGCAGCAGCTCTGCTGAGGATGATGATGAGGAAGGTGTGGTTTCATCTGAAGTTTCCAGCACTAAGGCTACGTCCAGCCAGGAAGGTGGGTTGTACCGTGAAGGCAATTCATAGTTCAGTTAGACATACTAGTTTAACTTCACATGACTTAGTGGGTTATGTTACAGCTCAGCAAGGAAGACAGGTATAACTCTTGGAACCCTTTAATCACAAAGAGACAGGTTTATCTTCACTAAACCTTGATGGGTTGCATCATTAGCATAGTTTTGCTCTTTTGGGAATTTAGGCAATACTACTGGCATAAATTAAGAATTATGTACTGCACTAAAACTAATGTGGGTATAGTTAAGTTTGATAAATACTACATGCAGGCATCATTGCTCAAACTTGGTAGCATCATTAGCTGCTTATTGTTTATAGCATTTCTTGTTAATTGTCCACTCCTTTTTATTTTTTATATTCCTAATGAGCTACAGAAGAATTAGCACAGTTGATACTTCATTGGTTTATAAAGGAAAATGGTAGGCTAGTTTAAAATGCTCGTAGCTAGGGAGAAGCATGCCTCAGTAGTTGCTACATATTGCTGTAAGTGGTGTAGCACTGAATGTCATTAATTGAATTGTGCAGTAAAGGGTTTAACCCTTAAACGTCCAAACGTAGATCTGTTTGATTTTACATTGTTTATGTAAAAAAAAAAAAGTAATCTACGTTTGGAGCGCTACACGTGCAAACGTAGATCTACGTTCGGACAGTTTAAGGGTTAAAGTAAAGAATGCTGGAAAAGTGGACTTAAAGCTGTTAGAATTCTGTCTGGAATAGTCAGTGGAAGAATGTTGATTGTATGCAAGTGGGATGTGTAATACACTACAACACATGGCAAATGTTCAAGGTTTTCTTAATTGAAACAGCTTGTGCAAACTATAACTTTCTCCTTTTACACAACAGCTCACCCTCTATACTCACTTTGCATCACTGGATAACCCATACAGGTTTAGCATTATTTCTTTGTGAATATAACAATAAGTAATTCCTTTGTTTTGCAGTTAGCAGAAATGAATAAAAGTTGAAATATTCATATGTGGTAATAGATAAGTTGGTTGGCTAGTTATAAATAATTATAGAATATCTTAACATATTTGGTAGTCTTTAGGAAGTTAGAACAAGTGATGGCTATAGTCTTCAGGAAGGTTATGAAATATGTTAACAGTAATGAGGTGTGTGTGTGTGTGTGTGTGTGTGTGTGTAAATAATTTTGTGTTCACCTTGTTTAAGTAAAGTGAGGACCTGTTATATTCATGGGGAAGTATTAAACCCGTATGTGTCAAGTAGGAGAGCCTATGTATTAAAGGGTTCATGCATACCATTGAATTTTATTTTTTTTGTAATCCTTTAATGGCAGTTCTGAGAATTAATTTTTTGTTGCATTAGTGAGATTATCAGACTGGTAGCTATCTAGTGAAGTATCTTATTTTCAACACTTGCTGTGACCTCTTATAGTAATAAGTACAATTTAAATGTGTTCCCTAGGGTAGTTTTACATGAGAAAATTATTTATCGAAGATTACTGTAGTGCCTAAAATAATTATATGTAATGTTTGAACTGGTTACTTTTATGTTGGAGAAATGTCTTGGTATTTTTAGAATTAAGAGTAAGGTTTGCAGGGAAGAGATTAGCATTACTCAGTGGCCCTGGGCTATTCAACATCTTAACACTAGATATTAGAAACACTGCTGGGACAAATGTAGAAGTCTTGAAGAATAAACTGGACAGGTATCTTCGCCAGGTACCAGATAAACCAGGCTGTGATGAATATGTTGGTCAGCAGTCCAACAGCAGCACCAGCCTGATTTACCAGGCAAGCACCAGACAAGCCTTGCCCAAGGCCGGGCTTTGGTAATAGGAAAAACTCTCGGAACTCATCAAAGGCAAATGTAAAGGTAGATCACGCCACAGTAGTTTAGTAAATCGGTGCACACTTTTACTATATTGAGGAAGGAGGTTTTATCTATGGAAGAAAATGCCACATCCTGTTCTTATTTTGCACTTTTGTACGTGAACTTTAGCCAGTTTCTCTGTTTATCCTATATAGATTAGGCTAGGCAGTATTGACCAAATTCAGGCAACTAATTATAATATTAATACCCACAAATGCAATAATATTTTTAAGTGTGAATAAAAAATTAGGAAAAACTGAGAAGACTTAAGCACAATAGTAAAAATCCTCATTTACATTTATCACAGTGTCTGTGTTTCCATGGTCTCGAGTCATAGTGGGAAAAGTTTGCATTGGAGGATAGTATGGGGTGCGTAGATTTTTTATTTTATTAACACACCGACCGATTCCCACCAAGGCAGGGTGGCCCGAAGAAGAAAGACTCATCATTCACTCCATCACTGTCTTGCCAGAGGGGTGCTTTACACTACAGTTATGAAACTGCAACGTTAACACCCCTCCTTCAGAGTGCAGACACTGTATTTCCCATCTCCAGGACTCAAGTCCGGCCTTCTGGTTTCCCTGAATCCCTTCGTAAATGTTACTTTGTTCACACTAAAACAGCACGTCAAGTATTAAAAACCATTTGCCTCCATTCACTATCAAATACACTCACACATGCTTGCTGAAAGTCCAAGCCCCTCGCACACAAGACCTCCTTTACCCCCTCCCTGCAACCTTTCCTAGGCTGACTCCTACCCTGCCTTCCCTCCACTACAGATTTATACACTCTCGAAGTCATTCTGTTTTGTTCCATTCTCTCTACATGTCCGAACCACCACAACAACCCCTCCTCAGCTCTCTGGATAATAGTTTTTGTAATCTCGCACCTTCTAATTTCCAAGCTACAGATTCTCTGCATTATATTCACACCACACATTGCCCTCAGACATGGCTAGATATGAGCATATTAAGGGTTAAGATTTGAACTATGAGGATAGACCACTATTCCATTGGCAGGCAGGGTCATGTTAGGGAGGCTTTATATTAAGCTAACATATCTATTTGTATTGCTGCCCTTGAGTGTGGAATAAATCATGATTGATGTTCAAACAAGGGAGTTATAGAATTGAAAGATACTTATTGAATTTTAGTTAAGATGTAGAAAAAAGTTAATAAATTGGAGGCAGCTAGTGTAGTTAAATTTTTTAATGTTATAGATAGGACTATGCAGTGTTCTGAGAGATTTACAAAAAAAAAAAAAAAATGGGTGTGGAACTGAATGTTTATTATAGAAATGGAAGGTAAAAGTACCTGTCAGAAAAGCAGGATAAATGGGCTGTAGGTGATATGGTGAACGTGATATCTGGTAAAGTGTTTTTTGGTAAATCCTGTGTGCTGTAATTAAATATTTTAGCTGTTGGCTACTTTATAGTGTAATTATTGCAGTTATATGTGTTTCTGTGATTATACATGTGAAGTATAACTATCTGACAGGTGTGTGTCGTCCCCAACAAGCAGGTTCACTAGAGGATGTGGCAAAGTCGACTCCTTCATCTGAACCCAGTACATCGGATGACCATCAGCACTGTGAGACTGACCCCTCACCCATCACCAACCATGCTCCTTCATCGACGTCCTCTTCTACCATGCCAGCTTTCACTACAGAGGCAGAAGAAACTGATTGATGTTGCGTAATGTGTTCACATGGCCAGAGTCAAGAGATTGTAGTGTATAAGTCAGGACTTGTTAATGCCCCCACTTAGTCATGTTCTAGTTTTGCTGTACCCTGTGAACATTGCATACTTTTGTTGCTATATCTTGTGCACATTGTATACCAGTTTTGCATACATTTGTTGCTGCATCATACACTCCCTGCACATGTTAAGACTTGCAAACACATTGTACACGTTTTGTCTTGAGTGTCCTCTTTCTCTCTCAAGTAGTGTATGCATGTCTCTGCTTTGCGCAAACACCTCTATTCACGTGTTTATTCGAACTGCTTTTGTATTGGTCTACTCTTGGTAATTTATATTTTACTTGTCAAGTTTATGACCTTACCTTGATTTTTCACTTTCCCCTCTTACCCCTTTTTTCTCTCCTCCCTGTTCTTTCCCTAATTTCCACATGTTGTGTTCACAGTTGAGTCTGGGCACATGTTTAGTTTTTGTTTAACAGGTTTAATTATCTACTTACCTGTGTACCTATTGATACTTAACTTGTACAACACAAAATAATTTACTTCTGTCTGTAAGTTTGCAGTGTGTGTATGTTTCTCTCTCACATCACTCACATGCACACACAACGTGAACACGTGCACGCACACAAACTGTGGCTTAACCTCTGCAACTACGGTGAGTACATGTATGCACGCGCACATGCATACACACCACACGTGCACGCACATGCACACCACACGTGCATGCACATGCACACTTACACACGTACATACAATGTGCCCCTGCAGCCTCTGTTCTGAGCTGCTGTGTTTGGACTCTATCATACCTCAGTGATATTTATAACTTAATAAGTTTATAAGGAATAGGAAGAATGTGGACCTAATTTTATTTACAATTTACTTTTGCATATTGACATACATTTTTTCTGTAATATAAGGTAGACTGAGTGCTTAATATTTTTTGCTCATAAGCAGGTGCTATTAGTGTTCTTGTGTTCATAGGTGTGCGCACCTGACATTTGCAATCATACTGTAAGAGCGGGACCTAAACCAGATAGTATAATGTGGAGTGCTTTTTATTTTTCCAGCTTTTTCCTGTTTGCATGTGTAATTAGTTACAATAAATGCCAGTAGCAAATCTATCTTGTGAATATATTTTTTGGATTTTCTTTTAGTGTGTTAATCTTTTCTGAATACAGTATGTTGATCTAGAGTGATATGAAGTATTAGCAGAGTGTAGTGTTGGGCGTATCAGACCTACACACTAATTGTACAGTACTTTATCATGTTTTATTATGAATAATAGCTTTAGTAAATCCTGAAATGCTTTATAAATTATATTTTTTCTCCTTTGCAACAGTTTTATCATCAACAAAAATCTTTGTGTACATAGATGTTGTGGTACAAGAACTGGTGGGTAGTACTGGCATGTCATGGAGGGCAATATTAAGTGTTAGTGCAGTACTTTGGCTGCTGCTTAATTCATCACTTATTTTCAACATTTTGCTCTTGGAATGTAGTATAATTGTTCTTGGAATGTAGTATAATTCCCAAGAACATTTTGTTCTTGGGAATTATACTACTACATTCAAGGAGTGATAAACCTACAAGGGCCAGTATCTAGAGAAATGGGAGACGTTCAGGTTTGATTCAAGAACAGGGAGCATAGGTCCAGTTCAAGTCTCTTGCTGGCATCAAGGAACCATCTTTAAGTGAACCTGATTTATAGGATAATGAAGTTAGCATGAAGATTTTCGTAATTAAGTGCATCTCGTGAATATAGTTAAAATAGTTCGTAAATTGCAACTTAAAGCAAAGTTGATTATAATTTTATCAGTACTGTACTTTATAAGTAAATTACTGATACAAATTTAACAACCTTGTAGCACACTTAAATTTACGGTAACTAGGATTTTAATTTATCTACCTGTATTTGATAGTGTTGTCCTGTTCTGATATGCAGTTATTTCCCATTCAGTTCACACAATTGTCAGAATTTGTACTTTACTAGCTGTTACTTATTCTCTCGCCATACATATATCCCTCATTCTGTCATCAAACCATGATGCTGTGTACAGCTGCCAAGAGCAACAGTACCCTTTTTGTTGTGGTTTGATGCAGTAAACTGTGGTGCTGCCCAAATTTTTGGGGAACTAGTCACTGCACTACAATTTACATACATTTATTTGGGACTTCATACAACTTACCTCTTGATTAAATTAATATAAAATTATTATAAAAAGAGAAGAAGAAAAACTTTATAAAACTGGGTTGCTTAAATGTGCGTGGATGTAGTGCGGATGACAAGAAACAGATGATTGCTGATGTTATGAATGAAAAGAAGTTGGATGTCCTGGCCCTAAGCGAAACAAAGCTGAAGGGGGTAGGAGAGTTTCAGTGGGGGGAAATAAATGGAATTAAATCTGGAGTATCTGAGAGAGTTAGAGCAAAGGAAGGGGTAGCAGTAATGTTAAATGATCAGTTATGGAAGGAGAAAAGAGAATATGAATGTGTAAATTCAAGAATTATGTGGATTAAAGTAAAGGTTGGATGCGAGAAGTGGGTCATAATAAGCGTGTATGCACCTGGAGAAGAGAGGAATGCAGAGGAGAGAGAGAGATTTTGGGAGATGTTAAGTGAATGTATAGGAGCCTTTGAACCAAGTGAGAGAGTAATTGTGGTAGGGGACTTGAATGCTAAAGTAGGAGAAACTTTTAGAGAGGGTGTGGTAGGTAAGTTTGGGGTGCCAGGTGTAAATGATAATGGGAGCCCTTTGATTGAACTTTGTATAGAAAGGGGTTTAGTTATAGGTAATACATATTTTAAGAAAAAGAGGATAAATAAGTATACACGATATGATGTAGGGCGAAATGACAGTAGTTTGTTGGATTATGTATTGGTAGATAAAAGACTGTTGAGTAGACTTCAGGATGTACATGTTTATAGAGGGGCCACAGATATATCAGATCACTTTCTAGTTGTAGCTACACTGAGAGTAAAAGGTAGATGGGATACAAGGAGAATAGAAGCATCAGGGAAGAGAGAGGTGAAGGTTTATAAACTAAAAGAGGAGGCAGTTAGGGTAAGATATAAACAGCTATTGGAGGATAGATGGGCTAATGAGAGCATAGGCAATGGGGTCGAAGAGGTATGGGCTAGGTTTAAAAATGTAGTGTTAGAGTGTTCAGCAGAAGTTTGTGGTTACAGGAAAGTGGGTGCAGGAGGGAAGAGGAGCGATTGGTGGAATGATGATGTAAAGAGAGTAGTAAGGGAGAAAAAGTTAGCATATGAGAAGTTTTTACAAAGTAGAAGTGATGCAAGGAGGGAAGAGTATATGGAGAAAAAGAGAGAAGTTAAGAGAGTGGTGAAGCAATGTAAAAAGAGAGCAAATGAGAGAGTGGGTGAGATGTTATCAACAAATTTTGTTGAAAATAAGAAAAAGTTTTGGAGTGAGATTAACAAGTTAAGAAAGCCTAGAGAACAAATGGATTTGTCAGTTAAAAATAGGAGAGGAGAGTTATTAAATGGAGAGTTAGAGGTATTGGGAAGATGGAGGGAATATTTTGAGGAATTGTTAAATGTTGATGAAGATAGGGAAGCTGTGATTTCGTGTATAGGGCAAGGAGGAATAACATCTTGTAGGAGTGAGGAAGAGCCAGTTGTGAGTGTGGGGGAAGTTCGTGAGGCAGTAGGTAAAATGAAAGGGGGTAAGGCAGCCGGGATTGATGGGATAAAGATAGAAATGTTAAAAGCAGGTGGGGATATAGTTTTGGAGTGGTTGGTGCAATTATTTAATAAATGTATGGAAGAGGGTAAGGTACCTAGGGATTGGCAGAGAGCATGCATAGTTCCTTTGTATAAAGGCAAAGGGGATAAAAGAGAGTGCAAAAATTATAGGGGGATAAGTCTGTTGAGTGTACCTGGTAAGGTGTATGGTAGAGTTATAATTGAAAGAATTAAGAGTAAGACGGAGAATAGGATAGCAGATGAACAAGGAGGCTTTAGGAAAGGTAGGGGGTGTGTGGACCAGGTGTTTACAGTGAAACATATAAGTGAACAGTATTTAGATAAGGCTAAAGAGGTCTTTGTGGCATTTATGGATTTGGAAAAGGCGTATGACAGGGTGGATAGGGGGGCAATGTGGCAGATGTTGCAAGTGTATGGTGTAGGAGGTAGGTTACTGAAAGCAGTGAAGAGTTTTTACGAGGATAGTGAGGCTCAAGTTAGAGTATGTAGGAAAGAGGGAAATTTTTTCCCAGTAAAGGTAGGCCTTAGACAAGGATGTGTGATGTCACCGTGGTTGTTTAATATATTTATAGATGGGGTTGTAAGAGAAGTAAATGCGAGGGTCTTGGCAAGAGGCGTGGAGTTAAAAGATAAAGAATCACACACAACATGGGAGTTGTCACAGCTGCTCTTTGCTGATGACACTGTGCTCTTGGGAGATTCTGAAGAGAAGTTGCAGAGATTGGTGGATGAATTTGGTAGGGTGTGCAAAAGAAGAAAATTAAAGGTGAATACAGGAAAGAGTAAGGTTATGAGGATAACAAAAAGATTAGGTGATGAAAGATTGAATATCAGATTGGAGGGAGAGAGTATGGAGGAGGTGAACGTATTCAGATATTTGGGAGTGGACGTGTCAGCGGATGGGTCTATGAAAGATGAGGTGAATCATAGAATTGATGAGGGAAAAAGAGTGAGTGGTGCACTTAGGAGTCTGTGGAGACAAAGAACTTTGTCCTTGGAGGCAAAGAGGGGAATGTATGAGAGTATAGTTTTACCAACGCTCTTATATGGGTGTGAAGCGTGGGTGATGAATGTTGCAGCGAGGAGAAGGCTGGAGGCAGTGGAGATGTCATGTCTGAGGGCAATGTGTGGTGTTAATATAATGCAGAGAATTCGTAGTTTGGAAGTTAGGAGGAGGTGCGGGATTACCAAAACTGTTGTCCGAGGGCTGAGGAAGGGTTGTTGAGGTGGTTCGGACATGTAGAGAGAATGGAGCGAAACAGAATGACTTCAAGAGTGTATCAGTCTGTAGTGGAAGGAAGGCGGGTAGGGGTCGGCCTAGGAAGGGTTGGAGGGAGGGGGTAAAGGAGGTTTTGTGTGCGAGGGGCTTGGACTTCCAGCAGGCATGCGTGAGCGTGTTTGATAGGAGTGAATGGAGACAAATGGTTTTTAATACTTGACGTGCTGTTGGAGTGTGAGCAAAGTAACATTTATGAAGGGATTCAGGGAAACCGGCAGGCCGGACTTGAGTCCTGGAGATGGGAAGTACAGTGCCTGCACTCTGAAGGAGGGGTGTTAATGTTGCAGTTTAAAAACTGTAGTGTAAAGCACCCTTCTGGCAAGACAGTGATGGAGTGAATGATGGTGAAAGTTTTTCTTTTTCGGGCCACCCTGCCTTGGTGGGAATCGGCCAGTGTGATAATAAAAAAAATAAAAAAAAATTATTATTTCTTGTGGGATCAGTGTTTTCATTCTTAGACAACTTTGTATTGTAGTTTACTAAACAGTTATGCAGTTTGTAAACTTTAAGTATTCTTTAAATCCACTGGGTTCTTAGGCTTCAAGTGTGCAGTAGGAAAAGGGGGTATAGGAGCTGTGTGAAGGTGAGCTGCCACCCACAGCAGCAGGTTTGGCTCTTGTCATCTCTTTGTAGGATTGGCTCTGTCATCCTTTTATATGTTTGCTCTCACTCTTTGACAAGTTTGGCTCTTGGTTATGCCTGTGGTAGGTGAGCAGTAGTTTTCATAAATTATTATTATAGATCTGGTCATGCCATTCCTTGGTTGCTGCTGGTAAATCTCAAGAAAATTTTCACTTATATTAATACTTTACACGATTTCTTAGACGGAAAAGTCGCCACGAGTAATTTTTTTTTTTAAAGCCAAGACCAATATTATTAATACTATTGGTCAAATGTTTGTTTGGGTGTTTCTTCAGCTGGCTGACTGGTTAGACCAAGCAGCAGTAACAGTAAGTACCCAGGAATGGCACGGGAATGTTACTTTTAGGTAAATTTTTATGTATTTGAGTGTTTATTCTGTAATGAGCTTTGCCACTAAATCTGTTTGTTTATTTTTGGCTTGAAATATTTTGTTATAATGGTTGGCACCTGTGTATGTTTTGCCTAACATAAGGTTTGCATTAATAATGTTGAAAGGTTTTAGTTTGCTGTGTCATTTATATAACTTTTTTGTCTGTAATTTTTGACCCACATCACATTGAGTTTTTGTGAGGAATTAGTATTAATAAGAGGTAATTATATATATTTTTTTAAAGTTGTTAAGGCAGTACATAGTAATTTGCTTCAAAATATTAAATATTTTTAAGCAATATATTAAACTGAGTAGCACAAAGTGCAACTGGATATTTAAATAAAAATACCATGTAGGGTTGAGTATTTTAAGTTTTACTGTACTTGGGGTGGCTTATGTAGCAAAATGTGTAAAATATTCTCTTCCCTACTTGACATTTTATTTACGAGATAAAATATCCTAGACAATGTCAATACCATTCTTTCAACTGCATCCATTAAATATCTTTACAGATTACCTTATAAATTATTTGTGCACCTCATTATCTTGTTTTACTGTTAACCTGTTTTTAGCCGTGTTTAGTTACACTACTACCATTTGTTTCTGTTGGTTGTTAGTTCAGTAAATTGCACATTAACGTTTTTTCCCTCGAAAATATACTCCTGTGAAGGTTAAGTTTTTGACTTGTCGATTTATGTTAGGTATAGTTTTGTGTTGTGCCTTGTGTGCAGTTTGTCATTTTAAAATTTTAAAGGTATTTTTTAAAGATTAAAGTAAGTACAGTATTTAGTTTGCCATAAACTGCTACATGCATGTACAGATATAAAACTTGGGCCACAGATGTCTACCCTGGAAACTGCTCATTAAATATTTTAAAACTGTCTTGCATAGCTTGAAACTAGTGTCCAGAATTGGTTCCTCAAAATGGTTGGGTGACCTAACCATACATAAAAAAAAAATATATATATATAATATATATATATATATATATATATAATATATATAATATATATATATATATATATATATATATATATATATATATATATATATACACTGTACTATTTATACAGTATATATGGTTATATATTTATTTGTGAACTTTATTTTTATTTTTTTTAATCAGAAATTTGAATAAAATATCAAAATAAAAAAAAATGAATCTTATCAAATATTCCTTCAGTGACGAAGCTTCAAATTAGAACCATTCATATTAGAAATTCTTGGTATTTTTTTTATACTGAAGATTCATCTAATTAAAGTAGTTTTAGAATGCCTGGCATTCCAACTATATTATGCTTTTAATAATGGTAGTTGAAAATGCTTTACTATATATTTACAGTACCAAAAATTCTGGTTGAATGGTTCCAAGGCATTAAAACTGCATCTTCACAAGGTAAGGAACACTTTGAGACCCCCTGAAGGGAGGCTCCTTGATGCTTGTAAGAGGGGCTCTTGATCTAGGAAACAGGATTTGTGCTCCGGTTCCCTGAATACCCTCCAACCCCCCCACAGACACTGTATAACTCTACGGGCTTAACACTCCCCCATGATTATAATAATTTTCTTTGAGACAATTGTCAAAAATCAAATCTTTTCAGTGAACACTTCCAGGGTTTTTCTTTAGACTAAATCATTACAGTATAAAGTTACTTTCAAGGAAATATGACATGATAGTTTGTGAAGGTATTACTGCAATAAAAGATTTGACTGGCTAAAAGGGACAAATGTCAAAATATTTTAGTGAAGTTTAGTACTTCACTTGACTTATTATTATTATTATTTTTTATTGACATTTTTTTTTTATTATCACACTGGCCGATTCCCACCAAGGCAGGGTGGCCCGAAAAAGAAAAACTTTGTGTACATTTTAATAACTTGGGCATACTGAAAAACAGTAGCATTATCAGGATTTAAGTTCAAAATGCATATGGCTCATTTCAGCACAAATTGGCGAGTAAATTTGGTTATGAATCCTTTGAGGGGCTTTGATGCAGGTGAAGGGCTCTTAACCCAAGGAAATGACACACACATTCCCTTTCTTGCATCAAACCTGATTGCCTCCCATACCCAAAGTGCTGCATAACCCTTCCATTTTAGTATTTTTCATTTTTTTTTTAACACGTCAGCCGTTTCTCACTGAGGCAGGGTGACCCAAAAAGAAAAAACTTAAACCATCACTCATACATAATCACTGTCTTTGCAGAGGCACCCCAATGAATATTAATTTGGATACAAAATATTGAGTACATTTATAAGTACAATACTGTAATGGTTTAACTTATACATTATTATTTCAAGTTGGAAGCTTCAAATAACAGTATTATTATTATAATCAAAAAGAAGCGCTAAGCCACAAGGGCTATACAGCGCAGTTCAAATAACAGTAATGAACAGGATTTTTTCTTATGCAGGTTTCATATAGCACCTGGGACTTAGGAGGCATTCCGGTTCAATCAAAGAAGGAAATGTCCTATTCCTCGGATCAAGAGCCTCTCACTAAAATCAAGGCATCTCCCCTGAAGAGCAGGGAAAAATTTTGGTGAATTACCCTGTAAATTAGAGCTTCAATCTCCGAGGGAAGTGGATGCGTGGGTGTAACCCAACAAATGGCGGTACTCGTGTGGTTGATAGACTTCAAATTCAATTAACCAATCTTTGCCGTGTCCCTATACCACCAATTTTAAATCAAGGACATTAAATATGTCATGAGAGCCATGTCAATCATGATTCCTTGTTAATGTAATAATAATGTTCATTTCTTTGAGCCATATAGAAAAATGAAGTTAAATGTATCAGTAGAATAATAGGTACAAAAAAAAAGTCACTGTTTATGCAATGCATAATAAGTATCATAAGGCTTACATGCTACTTAAGACCTAGACTTAGTTTTTAAAAGTTTAGGCTAAAATAAAGGAGGGGTTTGGGATATTGGCAGTTTGGAGGGATATGTTGTGAATCTTTATACGTATATGCTTCTAAACTGTTGTGTTCTGAGCACCTCTGCAAAAACAGTGATAATGTGTGAGTGTGGTGAAAGTGTTGAATGATGAAAGTATTTTCTTTTTGGGGATTTTCTTTCTTTTTTGGGTCACTCTGCCTCGGTGGGTCACCCTGCCTTGGTGGGAGACGGCCAACTTGTTGAAAAAAAAAAAAAAAGGAGACTTGTCACCTTGGATACCTGAGGATGCTAAAATTTCTCTATGGGAGTGCCTTAATGCTGGTGGTGGGCTCTTGATCAAAGGAATGGAGCTAACTTGCTGCCCCTTCCTCAGATCAAACCTAATTACCTCTAGTTCCTCAGGTTTTGTATGACAAGACAAATAGAAAATTCTTTACAAGTACTGTATGTCAAAATAAGCTTCTATTTTTTCAGTTCCCTTCAAGGGAAGTGTTTCGATGCCAGTGAAGGATTCCTGAGTGAGTGAATTGCAGGTATCCTCTTCCCTTCATCAAACCTGATTGCTTAAGATTTGTTGGGACTTTTAACATTAACCAGAAGATAGTTAGCCACTCAGGAGAGCCCAAGAAAGTCAGTGCATCAAGGACTTTTACTTCCATTGTGGTCCTTCAATCTTGTCCTCCCCCAAGATGCCACCCACACCGGTCTACTAATACCCAGGTACCTACTTACTGCTAGGTGAACAAGGACAGCAGGTGTAAGGAGACACGCCCATCATTCCATCCGTGTTGGAGATCGAACTATGGACAAACAAACTTGATAATATGGAATATACAGTACTATATTATACAATTTGGGTGATTAAGATATATTACTGCTTTACAGAAAGCACCAGAAATGGCATTCTCTTGTAATTATATGAAAATTAATGGTTGTTATAAAATTAGCACATTTACACCTGCATAAGCTAAAACTATACTGAAATTTTCTATCAGTTAACCGAATCAGAATTTTAAGCTTGAAGTTCATCAGAAGCAGCATTTTCAGTTTACTGCACATTATTATTATTATTATAATCAACTGTATAGTCCTTGTGGCTTAGCGCTTCTTTTCTGATTATAATTATAATCAAGGGGGAAGCGCTAAACCCGGAGGATTATACAGCGCCTGGGGGGGGATGTGGAAGGCATTCAGGCTTAATTCGGGGAACTGGAGCACAGATCCAATTCCCTAAATCAAGAGCCCCTCACCAACATCAAGGAACCTTCCTTGAGGGGAGTTTACTGCACAGAAACCTTCAGTGCTGTATGACCCTCATGGGTTTAGCACTTAGTTATAATAATTACATTGAAACCTTGGTAAAAGATAATAAAAATCCAACATTGACTCGAGGACCCTGATGGAAATAAGTCGCTGACTTTTTTGGGTTATCCTAGAGGGTTATTTACACATGTTACTATGTATGATAATGTGTGTAACTATGTTTATGTGTGATGTTGGTGAGGGGCTCTTGATTTAGGGAATTGGATCTGTGCTCCAGTTCCCCGAATTAAGCCTGAATGCCTTCCACATATCCCCCCCAGGCGCTGTATAATCCTCCGGGTTTAGCGCTTCCCCCTTGATTGTAATAATAATAATATGGTTATGTGTACCTCTACCTAAATAAACTTAATTACTAGCCTTTGAGGAGTTACTTGCAATGACCACAGTGGAAATACAAGTCATTTTGACTGGGTTATCCTGGTGGGCAATTTACACTATGTATGATAATTGTACTTGGGTGTACCTGTACCTAAATAAATGTACCTAATAAAGAGGAAAGATGAGAGTTAAGTGAAGGACCGGTCTACAACACTCCCATCCCGGGGAAATTATGGAAAGACAACTGAGTGATGAGCATTAACAGAGCAACCCTATGATAACCACTGATACTGCTGCTGATAACACTCCCACCAGGTACACCACTCAAGGTCAAACTACTCAGGGTCACCTGGGAACACCACTCAGGGGCATCTGAACACACCACTAGGGGTAGCTACACCTCTCAGGGGCACCTGAACACGGCAATAAGGGTAGCTACACCACTCAGGGGCACCTGAACACACCACTAGGGGTAGCTACACCTCTCAGGGGCACCTGAACACGGCAATAAGGGTAGCTATACCACTCAGGGGCACCTGAACACACCACTAGGGGTAGCTACACCTCTCAGGGGCACCTGAACACGGCAATAAGGGTAGCTACACCACTCAGGGGCACCTGAACACACCACTAGGGGTAGCTACACCTCTCAGGGGCACCTGAACACGGCAATAAGGGTAGCTACACCACTCATGGGCACCTGAACACACCACTAGGGGTAGCTACACCTCTCAGGGGCACCTGAACACGGCAATAAGGGTAGCTACACCACTCAGGGGCACCTGAACACACCACTAGGGGTAGCTACACCTCTCAGGGGCACCTGAACACGGCAATAAGGGTAGCTACACCTCTCAGGGGCACCTGAACACGGCAATAAGGGTAGCTACACCACTCAGGGGCACCTGGACACGGCAATAAGGGTAGCTACACCACTCAGGGGCACCTGGACACCACTAAGGGTAACAACACTCCTAAGGGTAGCTACACTATTAGGGGTGCTACAACACTCAGGGGCACCTAAACACCACTAAGGGTAGCTACACCACTCAGGGACACCTAAACATACCACTAGGGGTAGCTACACCACTCAGGGGCACCTAAACATACCACTAGGGGTAGCTACACCACTCAGGGGCACCTGAGCACACCACTCAGGGGCACCTGAGCACACCACTAGGAGTAGCTACACCACTCTGGGGCAACTAAACACACTATTAGGGGTAGTAACACCACTCAGAGGAACCTGAACACACCACTAGGGGTTCCTACACCACTCAGCCCCTCAAGGAAGGTTCCTTGATGTTGGTGAGGGGCTCTTGATTTAGGAAATTGGATCTGTGCTCCAGTTCCCCGAATTAAGCCTGAATGCCTTCCACATCCCCCCCCAGGCGCTGTATAATCCTCCGGGTTTAGCGCTTCCCCTTGATTATTATAATGTTATATATACACCACTCAGGGACACCTAAATACACCTCAATGGGGTAGCTACACTGCTAGGGGTAGATACACCACTCAGGGGCACCTGAACACACCATTAGGGGTAACTACACCACTCAGTGACGATGTTTGGCTGTAATCAAAGTGTTGTGTGTAAATGAAGGTAGACGTGTTCCAGCACAAGGGAACCAACATGCTGTGGCTACATCAGGTGGTGGTCCAGCACAAGGGAACCAACATGCTGTGGCTACATCAGGTGGTGTTCCAGCACAAGGGAACCAGCATGCTGTGGCTACATCAGGTGGTGTTCCAGCACAAGGGAACCAGCATGTTGTGGCTACATCAGGTGGTGTTCCAGCACAAGGGAACCAGCATGCTGTGGCTACATCAGGTGGTGTTCCAGCACAAGGGAACCAGCATGTTGTGGCTACATCAGGTGGTGTTCCAGCACAAGGGAACCAGCATGTTGTGGCTACATCAGGTGGTGTTCCAGCACAAGGGAACCAGCATGCTGTGGCTACATCAGGTGGTGTTCCAGCACAAGGGAACCAGCATGCTGTGGCTACATCCCCCTCAAGGAAGGTTCCTTGATGTTGGTGAGGGGCTCTTGATTTAGGGAATTGGATCTGTGCTCCAGTTCCCCGAATTAAGCCTGAATGCCTTCCACATCCCCCCCCCAGGTGCTGTATAATCCTCCGGGTTTAGCGCTTCCCCCTTGATTATAATAATAATAATGTGGCTACATCAGGTGGTGTTCCAGCACAAGGAAACCAGCATGCTGTGGCTACATCAGGTGGTGTTCCAGCACAAGGGAACCAGCATGCTGTGGCTACATCAGGTGGTGTTCCAGCACAAGGGAACCAGCATGCTGTGGCTACATCAGGTGGTGTTCCAGCACAAGGGAACCAGCATGCTGTGGCTACATCAGGTGGTGTTCCAGCACAAGGGAACCAAATTGCTGTGGCTACATCAGGTGGTGTTCCAGCACAAGGGAACCAGCATGCTGTGGCTACATCAGGTGGTGTTCCAGCACAAGGGAACCAACATGCTGTGGCTACATCAGGTGGTGTTCCAGCACAAGGGAACCAGCATCCTGTGGCTACATCAGGTGGTGTTCCAGCACAAGGGAACCAGCATGCTGTGGCTACATCAGGTGGTGTTCCAGCACAAGGGAACCAATATGCTGTGGCTACATCAGGTGGTGTTCCAGCACAAGGGAACCAGCATGTTGTGGCTACATCAGGTGGTGTTCCAGCACAAGGGAACCAGCATGTTGTGGCTACATCAGGTGGTGTTCCAGCACAAGGGAACCAGCATGCTGTGGCTACATCAGGTGGTGTTCCAGCACAAGGGAACCAGCATGTTGTGGCTACATCAGGTGGTGTTCCAGCACAAGGGAACCAGCATGTTGTGGCTACATCAGGTGGTGTTCCAGCACAAGGGAACCAGCATGTTGTGGCTACATCAGGTGGTGTTCCAGCACAAGGGAACCAGCATGCTGTGGCTACATCAGGTGGTGTTCCAGCACAAGGGAACCAGCATGTTGTGGCTACATCAGGTGGTGTTCCAGCACAAGGGAACCAGCATGTTGTGGCTACATCAGGTGGTGTTCCAGCACAAGGGAACCAGCATGTTGTGGCTACAACAGGTGGTGTTCCAGCACAAGGGAACCAGCATGTTGTGGCTACATCAGGTGGTGTTCCAGCACAAGGGAACCAGCATGTTGTGGCTACATCAGGTGGTGTTCCAGCACAAGGGAACCAGCATGCTGTGGCTACATCAGGTGGTGTTCCAGCACAAGGGAACCAGCATGTTGTGGCTACATCAGGTGGTGTTCCAGCACAAGGGAACCAGCATGTTGTGGCTACATCAGGTGGTGTTCCAGCAGAAGGGAACCAGCATGTTGTGGCTACAACAGGTGGTGTTCCAGCAGAAGGGAACCAGCATGTTGTGGCTACATCAGGTGGTGTTCCAGCACAAGGGAACCATCATGTTGTGGCTACATCAGGTGGTGTTCCAGCACAAGGGAACCAGCATGTTGTGGCTACATCATGTGGTGTTCCAGCACAAGGGAACCAGCATGCTGTGGCTACATCAGGTGGTGTTCCAGCACAAGGGAACCAGCATGCTGTGGCTACATCAGGTGGTGTTCCAGCACAAGGGAACCAACATGCTGTGGCTACATCAGGTGGTGTTCTAGCACAAGGGAACCAGCATGTTGTGGCTACAACAGGTGGTGTTCCAGCACAAGGGAACCAGCATGCTGTGGCTACATCAGGTGGTGTTCCAGCACAAGGGAACCAGTATGCTGTGGCTAAATCAGGTGGTGTTCCAGCACAAGGGAACCAACATGCTGTGGCTACATCAGGTGGTGTTCCAGCACAAGGGAACCAGCATGCTGTGGCTACATCAGGTGGTGTTCCAGCACAAGGGAACCAGCATGCTGTGGCTACATCAGGTGGTGTTCCAGCACAAGGGAACCAGCATGCTGTGGCTACATCAGGTGGTGTTCCAGCACAAGGGAACCAGCATGTTGTGGCTACAACAGGTGGTGTTCCAGCACAAGGGAACCAGCATGTTGTGGCTACATCAGGTGGTGTTCCAGCACAAGGGAACCAGTATGTTGTGGCTACATCAGGTGGTGTTCCAGCACAAGGGAACCAGCATGTTGTGGCTACATCAGGTGGTGTTCCAGCACAAGGGAACCAGCATGTTGTGGCTACATCAGGTGGTGTTCCAGCACAAGGGAACCAGCATGCTGTGGCTACATCAGGTGGTGTTCCAGCACAAGGGAACCAGCATGTTGTGGCTACATCAGGTGGTGTTCCAGCACAAGGGAACCAGCATGTTGTGGCTACATCAGGTGGTGTTCCAGCACAAGGGAACCAGCATGTTGTGGCTACATCAGGTGGTGTTCCAGCACAAGGGAACCAGCATGCTGTGGCTACATCAGGTGGTGTTCCAGCACAAGGGAACCAGCATGTTGTGGCTACATCAGGTGGTGTTCCAGCACAAGGGAACCAGCATGTTGTGGCTACATCAGGTGGTGTTCCAGCACAAGGGAACCAGTATGTTGTGGCTACATCAGGTGGTGTTCCAGCACAAGGGAACCAGCATGTTGTGGCTACATCAGGTGGTGTTCCAGCACAAGGGAACCAGCATGTTGTGGCTACATCAGGTGGTGTTCCAGCACAAGGGAACCAGCATGTTGTGGCTACATCAGGTGGTGTTCCAGCACAAGGGAACCAGCATGCTGTGGCTACATCAGGTGGTGTTCCAGCACAAGGGAACCAGCATGTTGTGGCTACATCAGGTGGTGTTCCAGCACAAGGGAACCAGCATGTTGTGGCTACATCAGGTGGTGTTCCAGCACAAGGGAACCAGCATGCTGTGGCTACATCAGGTGGTGTTCCAGCACAAGGGAACCAGCATGTTGTGGCTACATCAGGTGGTGTTCCAGCACAAGGGAACCAGTATGCTGTGGCTACATCAGGTGGTGTTCCAGCACAAGGGAACCAGCATGTTGTGGCTACATCAGGTGGTGTTCCAGCACAAGGGAACCAGCATGTTGTGGCTACATCAGGTGGTGTTCCAGCACAAGGGAACCAGCATGTTGTGGCTACATCAGGTGGTGTTCCAGCACAAGGGAACCAGTATGTTGTGGCTACATCAGGTGGTGTTCCAGCACAAGGGAACCAGCATGCTGTGGCTACATCAGGTGGTGTTCCAGCACAAGGGAACCAGCATGTTGTGGCTACATCAGGTGGTGTTCCAGCACAAGGGAACCAGCATGTTGTGGCTACATC